AAATAAAATAAAATTTAATTTAATTTAAAAAGTTATTAAAAGACTAAGTTCAAAACCCTTGGTTAAGAACCTAAGTTCTATACTATACATTACAGAGAGGTTGCTGATATCTATTAGTGGACAGGAATTTACACACTGAGAAGTCCCTTACACCAAAAAAATTAGGTCTAAACAAACCAAAAAATGCACAAGGCCCTATGTAAAACAAGGACCATGCCCTTCCCTTTACCTGCTGTTCCTCACAAGACTTAAATTAGCACATATGCTTAAATAAGCTATTAGAGTATCTTGGGTTTCTTAGAAGCATAAGAAGTACCACTTAAAAATTACTTAACATATATTTTGTATTTACTTACCTCTGTACATAGTTATTTCAGTTATTAGAATGTAAACTCCCAGAGGCCAGGAATTGTTTCATCTTTGTCACTGGATCCCCACCTCCTATTACAGTGCCTGGTCCCAGAGAAGGCATTTAATAAATGATTGTTGGTGAATTTTTTAATCTGATTTAATTTTAAAATTAAATTCCTTAAAATGCACGTGTCTGGCTGAATTTAACATTCGAGAAGTTTTGTTTTTGTTGTTTTGTTGCACATGAACTTATGTGGAAAACTGAAATTTCTATTCTGAGTATAATATAAGAAGTAAGATGTACAACCCATTGTACACGTTCTCATTCTCAGCTTCTCCTCCTTTCCTCATCTTTCTCCTTGTTACCTTTTCTCCCACGTGCTTATTTAGTTTCTCTCCCTCACCGTCCCTTCCTGTTCTGGCTACACACATTAGGCTGTCAAAAAAAATAATGTTTTTCTTAACCTTTAAGTTATTGTCTCAGCTCTCTCCTTTGCCAACAAAGGAAGGACGGAGGTTAGATCTCATCACTATTTTTCCCCCTCAGCCAGAAACACGCCTCAGCCCCGCCTTTCTCCAAAGCTTTGTGGTTTCTGGGGACCCTAGGGCAACGGACCCTCAAAAAACTTTCTGAACTCATAAAGTGACGCAATCTTAAGGAATTCTGGGAATCGTAGTTTTCAGGTTACACACCTGCGCAGGCGCAATTTCACATGGCTCTTGGCCTTAGATATCCATTGTTCAGCCGGAGACCGGGAGAAGGTGAGTCCCGTTTCTTGGCTGCTGTTCCCTGCCTCTGAGTAAGAGCAGTCGCAGTCCTGCAAATGGATTCCGGGAGGCATGTGGGTGTGACCAAAAGAGGTTCTTTGAGGAGGCCAGTCTGAAGGACTGACGAGGGGGTTGAGGTGTGGGTGGCCGTGATACTTCCATTCCCTTTTCCCGGGGACAAATGAGCAGGTAGGTCCCTTCTAGCAGACTCATTTTCCTAATCTGTAAAGTGGAAGGGATTGGATAGATGTTTCCTCCCAGCTCAAACATTCTAATGATTCCAAGTGGGTGGGCATACAAACTGTGCTGCATGGTGTATTCGGCAGAGCTCTGTTATAAACACCTGGGCTCCCATCTGGTTCTTGACATTGCATTTGTGGACCGGTTTTCTCATCAGCAAAACAGGGATAACAATACCTCATAACAGGGATGATGTGAGTCTCAAGTGAGCTAAAATATTTAGAAAGATTTGCAAACTCTAAAATCCTGAACAAATGGCAGTTATTTTTATAACTGATGCTGCGAAAACTGCCATCCCACCTTCATCTGTGGACACTCCTGCCACCCCACCTCCATCTACCTTCTTCCTTATGTGCCATTTCCTTAGTGTGTGTGTGTGGTGTGTGTGTGTGTGTGTGTGTACACGTACATATGTACATAAAATAGTGCACGAGTCAACCCTACATCCCTCAGAGCAGGATTAGAGCAGAAGAGCTGAACACCTGGATCCCTACGATGGGAAAGGAGAATGTCATCATATGATCAGAAATGGACTGTGGGAGAAAGAATTGACCAGTAGTCCCCAGATAGTGCTGGTGGTGCTGGTAGTGATGCTGCTGTTGCTGCTGTATATCCAAATCTGTGCACTTAGTTCTGAAGTAGGAGATAATCTGGGCAGGAGATAATCACAGTCATTTTCAATTTTGAGTATCAAGGCATGTTGGAGAAAAATGAGTGAGTCTGAGTTGAGTCCAGGAACCCTATTTGTTATTTGCCTCACTGAATCATCAATGCTTTCATAGATGAGAAATATTAGGTCAAGGTAGGTCAACTGACATTTCATAAAGGTAGTAGTCATTAGAGTTGGGATTTAAATACTGATCCTCAAACTCCAGCGCTTCTTTCCATTGCCCAGCGCTTGGCACATAATGGGCACTTAATAAATCCTTATTCTCTGCCTCTTTCTCATTACCCCACTGCCTCATTTACTCACTTACTCACTAGTATCCCATCTGATATTGGGGGAAAGCAGACATCCCTGTATGACTTGGGATTTCTCAGTGCCTTGCTTGATCTTTTATGTGTATGCTCTGCCTGTAGTCACTAAGTCTCTCTCCTCTTCCCCATTTCATTAGTGTAGGAAACTCTTGAAGTGAAAATTACCTCTTTAATTCTCTGTGACTTAGTTTTAAAGAGTGCCTGGGGACACTGAGAGGCAGTATATGTCAGATTCAGAACTTAACTACAGATCTCCCTGGCTCTAACGTTCGTATGCTCTAGTCATGCTGCCTTGACTATTCTCACCTACTTTTCCTGAGATTTAGGTCCTTGCTTGGGAATAGATATTTGAGTTCTAGGAAGAAAAATTTCTAGCTGAAGAAATATTTCCCCCTTGGGTTCTAGGTCCCTCTTTCCCTAGGAACAAGACAAGTTGGACTCTTGAAAATAAAATTAAAGGGAAAGGCCTCCCCTGCTACATATTTCTCTAGAACTATAGTCCATCTTGAAAGACAAGCTTGACACAGAAATTCTCATCAGAGTTTCAAGAGAGAAACTGGAGATTTACATGAAGAAGTAATACCAGCAATAATCATTGACCAGTCTATCAGGACTTGAGTGATGTCACAATATCCAGAAAACAAGAAGGAAATGGTTACCTCTATAGATTTAATCCAAGAGCATACGGACAGAGGTGAAAAGTACAATTGGCAAGGGAAGGTCAGTCTCATCAGATTAGGAAAAAATCAGTTATATTTAATTGATGGGAAGAGATTTAGTATGTTGTTATATATCCCTGAGAAGAGATTTGGAGAGACCTTGGCATCATTAGCAATTCATTTTTAAACCATCTCTTATAGGCTATTTCTACATCTGTTTATTCTCATCCATATTTTGATTTTTATTAACAGGAATTTCAGAGAGTAACATTTTCTAACTTTGTCCCCACATTCTTAGAGTGTTACCTGAGGTTTGCATTTCCTTGTGCACTCACTTGGAGAGGCAAAACCAAGGTCTCTTGCAGCATGATCCATGCACCTTCTCTGATCTTATAAGGGAGTTAAGCTATTCTTAGATGTGCTCTAATCCCTATATTTGGAGGGTGGATTTGTTAACACATGCAACTAATATAGGAGGATTTCTAGGCTAGTTGAGTCTGAGAGCTATAAAGCAGAAGTGGTCTTTTCATTTCACTTTTTTTTTTCACAGAATTTCAGAGTTAAAGGACACCAGTGGCCTTGTCCACCTCATTCCTGAAAAAGAATCCCTAGTACAGCATACTTGATAAATTCAGCCTCCATTTGAAGACAGTAATGGGGAACCTACTAACTCCTGAGGCAGCCCATTCTACTTTTAGATATCTCTAATGATTAGGAAGTTTTTCTTAACATCAAGCTGAGTCCTATTGTTTTGGGTTCTTTTCTCTCAGGCAAAACAGAACATGATAACTATTCAAAAACTTGAAGGTAATTATCATATCACTTTTGAGTCTTTTCTTCTTTAGGCTTACTCCCTTTTCCTACAACTGATTCTCCTATGGAGGTCCTTCAGCATCCTGATTGCCCTCCTAAAGTAATTTACAGTCACTCCAGATGTGATTTGTCTAGGACAGAATCCATTGAGACTATCACCATATTCTTGGACACTACCTCTCTTAATGTTGGCTCAGATCACGTTAGCTTTTTTTTTTTTTGCTCCTGTATTATAGCTTGCAGTCTACTAAACCACCTCGATCTTTTTTCAGGCAAAGTACATCCTATACTAGTTAACTTGATATTTGAATCCAAGTAGAAGATTTTCCACATATCCATGTTAAATGTAATATAATTAAGTCCACCCTCATGTTCTAACCTGTCAAGATCTTTTTGGTAACTATTTTTTTTTCTTTTGGCGAGGCGATTGGGATCAAGTGACTTGCCCAGGGTCACACAGCTAGTAAATGTCATATGTCTGAGGTTGGATTTGAATTCAGGTCCTCCTGACTCCAAGGCTGGAGCTCTATCCACTGCACCACCTAGCTGCCCCTTCAAGATCTTTTTAGATCCTGACTCTCTTATTCAGTGTGTTAGCTGTCTTCCAACTTTATGTTAACCTGGAAAATTGATGAATCTGCACCTTTACCCACATTATTGATAAAAATGTTAAATAGCACAGGGCCAACCTTAATTCTATGAGGCACACCACTGGAGCCCTTCAAGTTGATAAAAAACTAACTACTTTTTGAGCCAGTCCTTTCAACCACTTATTACACCATCTAATTGTACTAGTCTTTTTCTCTCCATCTTTTCTATAAGAAAAGCATGCGATATCTATCAAATGGTTTGCTAAAAATTTGGGTAGACTACATCCACAATATCCCTCTGATTTACAGTTTAGTGACACTATCAAAAAAGGAGATGTGGTTTGTCTGGCTTAACTTGCTCTTGATAAAGCCAAGCTGTCGCTTTATAATTATTGCTTTTTATAGATGTTCTCTAACCACCTTTCTAATGATCTTTTAAAGAATTTTGTAAGGCATGGAAGTCACTGGCCTATAGTTTGCTCACTCTTTATCTTCCACTTTTTGAAAATAAGGACAGCATTTGCCCTTCATTTGTATGATACCTTTCCAGTTCTCCCAGGGGAAATGGAGCCTGGCACAGTACATCCTTAATCATACATACCAGTATCTAAGGTTGTAGTTTGTCTGTGCCAGGTGACTTGAATTCATCATGGACATCTAGTGCTCTCCTTTATATATTGGCTCCCCATTAACCATTTTTTGTTGTTGTTGTTCTGGGCCTTTCCAGGGCAAAGGTCAAGTTCTGTGACAGAGAAAACAAAAGCAAAGTTGTAATTCAGCAGTTTGATATCCCTGTTGTCAGTTGTCAGTGTCCCATTTATACCAAATATCAATCCTGTCCCTCCATTGGTCTCCTTTTCCCCTCTAATATTGTTAAAATATCCTTTTGGAGGATTACTAGACTGTGCCATGCTTCCATATTCATTCTCTTTCCTCCATTAGCTTTTTTTCTTGTTGGATAGATTAATCTGCTAACTATTAATAGTAATCTGTCTATATTAAATCTAAATTGATTGATGAGTTCTCTGTGTGTTCACATCAATCTCTTTAGTCATTCCTATTTTTGATCTTCATTGGAATTGTTTCCTTTTGTGTCTTCAAAACTTCATTTTTTTAGCCCTTTTTTTGTTTTTAATTTATTATTAAAATTAATTTATTTTGATATATCAACAATCACTTCCATAAGCTTTTGAGTTTTAAATTTTTCTCCCCCTCCCTCCCCACCTCCCTCCCCAAGATGGTATGAAATCTGATATAGGCTATACATATACATTTCCATTAAACATATTTTCACACTAGTGATATTATAAGTAAGAATTAGAACCAATAGGAGGAACTACCAGAAAGAGGAAACAAAACACCACAGAAGAAAAAAATAGCAAATAGTAGTGTGCTTCAATCTGCATTCAAACTTCATAGTTCTTTCTTTGGATGTGGATAGCATTTTCCATCATAAGGCCCTTGGAGATGTCTTTGATCCTTATATTGGTGAGAAGGGTTAAGGCTATCAATATTAGTCATTGCACAACATGACTGTTACTGTGTACAACATTCTGGTTCTGCTCACTTCGCTCAGCATCAGACCATACAAGTCTTTCTAGGTTCATACTTTCATTTTTGAGAGTTTTATATCTCTCCTGGGTTGACTTGCCTTATAGAGTGTGAACCTACCTAGCTTGTCTTTCCTTTGAATTCTATAAATCTGCTCTTCCCAAAGCTAGGGTGTTTTTCTGACTGTGCCTGTCTCTCTTCTCATTTACAAAATCTAAGATGTATAGGGTTCACTTCCTCCCAAGCTTCTCATCATTTTCACCTCAGCATAGTTCCTCCTTGTTAGTAAGAATCAGATTGAGAATAGAATTTTCCCTTTTTGTTTCCACCGCCTTTTGAAGGATACAGTTATTATTACAATAAATCAAGAAATTACTCTACAGGTATCTGGATCATTAAAGTCCTACATTAATTTTATATTGTGCATCTATGCCAGACTTTGTGATTTGTTTCTCAAATTCCTCATCCCAGTCATCCTTTTTCTTATCTCATGGTCTGTAGCATATAATCCAGTAACAAAGTTACTTGTTACATGGATTAGTAAAAGAAGCACTGCCTTTGGAGTTATAAGCTGTGGTTTCAAATCCCACCTCTGATGCTTGCTGTCTGTGTTATTCAGATCACAGTAATTACTTAACCTTCTTAGGCCTCAGTTTCCTCATATGTAAAATGAAGGGGTTCAATTAGGTGTCCTCTTAGAGAGCTTTTTGAGGGCAAAGATGGTTTTTTGCTTCTTTTTGTATCCCCAGTACTCAGCATAATGCCTAGCAGATAGTAGGAGCTTAATGGTTGATTGTTGTCCCTCATTCTCAAAGAGGACTAAAATGACATCAATAGTGATGTGGAGTCAAGGTACAGTATGTCCACCTGTGACTGATCAGAGCAATATGAGCTTGGCAGGCTCTACCACAGGTTGGTTGGGCACAAATAGTTATATGAACAATTGGAATGGAAATGTTTCTAAATTTGAGCATCTCACACTTCTTTTGAGCTACTAAAATTCTACTTTCCTCATAGAGCACATCACCTTCTTTGATGCAGGCATGTCATGCTGAGTGGTCCTATGCCAATGTCTCCTGTCACAAAATTGATTCCAAAGTTCTTCAGAGAGACCTTTAGAGTGTCCTTGTATTGCTTTTTCTCACTACCATGTGAACACCTGCCTTGCATGTGTTCTCCATAAAGTAATCTTTTAGGCAAATGTATGTTTGGCATTTGAACAACCTGGCCAGCCTATCAAAGTTGCACTCTCTGCAATAGAGGTTGAATGCTTGGCAGTTTAGCTCAAGAAAGGACCTTAGTGTCCAGTACCTTATCTTCAGATAGGTGATCTTCAGAATTTGACAATCCATTTGAATTGTTTTAGGAAGAGGTGCTTAATCAATGTTTATTGACTGCCTGCCTGCCCTCTGCTAGCTCTAGCTTTATGATTCTATGACACTTCCCTTCATTCATCTTCACCCACATGCCATCCACCATGGTTCTCGCTCTGGTAGCTACATTTCCTCAAATGAATGTATTTTCTTAACATACAATTCTGTCCTTTCCTCCTTTTATCTTTCCTGTTTCCTTTGAATAAGATATATTCATCCATAATCATGTTGTAATTATAGGTCTCACACTACCCAATGTCAATGATATCTATGAAGTCAGATTTACCTCCCAGGTCTTCCTTTTCAGAATTCTGCTTTTCCTCAAGAGAAGAGTACAGAGGAGGAGGGGGGAGTGACTGCTTTGCCTCAGAAAGCCAGGTTCAAGATGAGTTGGGGTTCACTCTTTCTTTCCTGAAATGTCATCTTGGTTCTCAAAGTATGGGTATGTTTTTTTCCCTATGTTCTGTAGTTTCATCATCCAACTATATTTTTGTCAAAGACCTCTTCCCTAGAAAGACTAAGCTTATCCTGGTATACTTCACAATATTTGATCCCTACCTGCCTATTGTACTCCTCTGCACCTACCTCTTTTGTTCATTAGGACAGTATTTATTTATTAAGCATCTACTGAGTGCCTATGTACTGTGCTAGGTGCTGGGTGTATATCCTTAGTATTGTATAGAACACTATCTTGGATACAGACAAATTGGAATATAGAGTATTATTATTGGAGGATGCTCTGAGAGTTTATCTTATTGGGGAAACAAGTTACAAACTTACAAGAAATGCTTACATAATGACATAAGAAAGTGCATGAACACATATCATGTATATGAATAGTACCAGTAATAAGTACAAGAAGTTAAAGAAGGGAAAGACACTGTATATCCAATTATGGTTAGGGAAGGCTTCATACAGGATGTAGAATCTGAGCTGTATTCTACAGTATGGTTGGGATTTAAAAAGAAGTGAGGGAAAGAGAATTGCCAAGGGAGGGAAAGTTTTGTGTGGGGGGAATAGGATAGTGAAAAGACAAGGCTGACTGGAGCAGTTAATGTGTAGTATTTGAGGCAATCAGGTGGCTTCATGGATTTAGTGCTAACTGGGGAGTCAAGAACACCTAAATTCCAATCCCAACACTTAATAGCTGTGTGACTCTGGACAAACCCCTGGGTAATCTTAACCTCCCTCAGTTTTCTCATCTATAAAAAGAGGAGAATAAAAGTACCTTCCAGGGTTGTTGTGAGGATAAAATAAGATAATATTTGTAAAGTACTTTGCAAACCTTAAAGTTCTATATATATGCTAGCTAGTAGTAACAGTAGCAGTGGTATGTTGTTAGTGAAGGACAGAATATTGGAAAGCCTTGAATTCCATATTAAAGAGCCTATATTATATCCCATTCAATTCAGCAAACATTTATTAAGCACCTGTAGGAGTAAAGTGAGAGGCAGTATGGTGTAGTAGTATAGCCACCCTTACAGTCAAGAAGAGGTGGGATGAATTCCTGCTTCTTACCACTACTAGCTGTGTGGCTGTGGACAAGTCACTTAATCTCTCAGTGTTTTCAGGCAACTTTCTAATACTGAAAGTAATATACAAATTGCTGATAAGTATCAGCAGTAGCAGTTGGCAACAATGAATAATTATAAATGTCAACCATTACTGAGTTCATTTTTAGAAAGACAACAAAATTAGTCTGAATATGAGTGTTTATTTCTCTAAAAGCTTGTGGAACATGTATATAGAGATACGCACGGGAGCTCATCATATAAATGAACCCAAAGATACACAAAGTGGATTTTCACATGTGCAGAACAGTTCTCTCCCACTCCTCCTTCCCTTCCTGGCTCAGGATGCCTACATCAGCCAAAATTGTGGTCTCCAAATGTTTAACCATGATATGAGAAAGGAATTTCTTAAGTGAATAGATTATAAATACAATATGATAGGAGAAGTGTTAAAGTGTCAATTGAAAATATATATCCAGGATATCTGTGTTTCTTTTACCATTAACATGACATAACATAGTATATGTCCATAAAACACTAAGATAAGAAAAGTCCCACTATTCAAGACAGTGTCCATTCCCAGGCATCCTGTCCTTGGTGGCCATAAACAGGAGAATGCTGGTCAGCTTCGTCTGGTCCTGTAGTTACTAACACAGGAAGGAGCATTTTGAATTCACTCAGAAATCAAAGAAAAGCGTGCCCAGAGCACACAAAGCAATATGGTAAATTAAGCCCAGCATGGGCCAAAATGTCTCTCCTGATTTGGCCAGTCCAGGTTTTAAGGCTTTCTCGGGTGTTGGGGTTCAAAATGGTTTGGGGAGGGGTCTACATAAGAAAGTAATTTTACTAATATTAGAAGTTAAATGACACAGTCTAGGCATGGAATCAGGAAGACCAGAATTCAAATGTGACTTCAGACACTTACTAGCTGTATGACCCTGGGCAAATCACCAACCTCTGTCTGCCTGAGTTTCCTTATCTGTAAAATGGAGATTAATAATAGCACCCAACTCCCAAAGTTGCTAATTAATGAGTTAATATTTGTAAAGTACTTTCTTTGCAAACCTTCAAAGTGTTATATAAATGCTAGCTATTACTATGCCAAATTACTCAGGGCAAGAAAGAAATGAGTAGTGGGATTGTAGAGTCAACACATGAAGAGTTGAGCCGTAAAAGCTGTTGCTCTTGGAACTTTTCCCCCATTGTAGGCCTCTGTTCCTCAAACTCTTGAACTCTCCCTTCTCTTATCTCCTTTCTTATCCCTATCTTGCAGAGAGCTAGCTCACAGAGTAAGGCAGACACATTAA